TATATAAATGATGCACCAAATTTGAAATAATTTTCCAATTAGGGCAGTGTGAAGTTTTGTTGAAATCGATTTATATTTAGATATAGCTCAGTATATATATATATATATATATTTGGTCCGGTTTTATGTAAATAGAGAACCAAAAACTCTATATTTAAAAAATACAACATCGGTAAATGTCTTTTGAAGCATTGCTATCGGTGTTTTCAAAATGTCATTGTAATAATAGAGTAAGTTTTGAGACGGCCTAGGTTTGAGTTCATAAAATCGATTTAAGTTAATCGATACAATTTTGTCGTGATAATCCACGCCGAAAGCTGTAAAAACGTTCGCAAGAAACTTTTGCGAGATGTAGATTTCTGTGTTGCCTATGATGGTTTCTTTTCCTATAACGGTTCGGCTTAATTATATCTTAACAAAATCGTATTTGTTGAATCAAATATGTTAAAAAATTCAACTTTTTTCAATTTCTTCTAATCTACATTTAAAATGTCTATACACAAACCAGTAACTAAATGTCATTTAGATACAAAATTAACCATAATAAATCAAATCACCATTTAAGAGTAACTGTCACAAATACCCTCAACACAAAAATAAAAAAAAAACGTCACCCACTCCAAACCTATTGTCCTGCCAAAGCCTAAGCTATATTTTATAAACAACAACCCAAAACAAAACGTTGACTTTTCTTGACATGCCACTTACACCACCAAAGTAATCTATATCAATCTTATTTGTTTCGTTTCGTTTTTTATTTTATATATTTTCTCACTTCATATCCCAAGGAATTGTATTGTAAATGCATATGTTACCACTAAATAAAAAAGCCCATAAAGATGTGCCTCCACAACGACATCAACACAAACGAAAAAAAGCCAAAGGACTTCAATAAAATATTTACGTGCAAGGGAAGATATTCCATGTGTAGTGTGGAATGGTAAAAAGCTTGAATAAATATAAGGACACCATACTGAAACTGACATATATTCAACGTAAATAAAACATAACCACACAAACTGAAATAGTAGGGGTGATGTGGGGAAGTTGGGAAAGACATGCTACAGACAAGTGAAGCTACCCATGTTCACTTTCCCCACAAAAATATCTAAGGAGAAGTGATCCATTAGCATCATGGCCATACACTCCCACATCTCATATGCTGTTCCTGTTCCCGTTTTTTAAATCGTCTCATGTGAAGTTTAAAAATCCATAAAATATCGTCCATAATAACCTTACATGCCAAAGCATTTATGTAAACTTAAGAACAAGATGAATAACAGTGCTTGTGTGTGTTTGTGTGCTTATGTTCATGTGACCATGATACTGATGATGAACAAGAAGTTACCGAATACGTTTTTCCTTCATTTTCTTTGGCTCTGCATAACATGAAAAACAACTTGAAATAAATATTGAAATATTATCATAAATTAAGGGAAAGACGATGTTCATGATTTTTAGTATGCATAATGTGAGCTTTAGACGACTGAGTCGAGGAAAGAGGGAGAGTGAGTATTGAACAGAAAGTCATATATCAGAAGTAAAGTAGCCGAACAGAAGTAGCAGCAGCATCAGCAGCAGTAAACGACAAGAGCTACATCAAGTCAAAACCATTCATTTGCTGTCGTGCATTTAATAATGATTTACATTTTGGTACTCAACATAAAGTCATTTCTTCGTAAGGACGAAGAAAAAAGTTGTTATATATGGGTTACAAACAGTGGAACGGGTAACAAATATTGGTATTTATTCAAATTAGATGACTTCTTGATGATGACGAGAGATCGAGATCCTTAACAATTTAAAGGAATATAATTTATTTTAAAAAAATTATGTAAATGATACTTATTATTATTGAAAATAATAACGAACAGAAAATTCCAACAAAATGCAATTTATATGAGAGGAACAAAATTATATAGTCAATTATTATTATGTTTTTTTTTTTTGCAAACTTATTTTATGCGGAAAATATTATGACTTAATAAAATTTAGGTTGAAATCAAAAATTCGCTTACAATATTTCTACAAAATTTACTAATGAAAGGATAATGATTTTATTGTATTCACAGAACAGTAAGGAAAGCTCAAAAGTCGGACGGGGCCGACTATATGATACCCTTCACGACTTTTGATACATACAAGAGATGAATAATATCATGTAGGTAGAACAGACATATAATCTTTAGAGGACCATTAGAATGGAACCGGAGAAACTAAATGTGTGACCTACATATATATTGAAACCAATAAAAAAAACCCATACAAATACCATTCTGAAATCTGTGAAAAATTGCATGTCAATCGGATTCTTTTGTGTACTATTTGTATAAAATCGAGCAAAATACTGTATGTGGAATTATGTATAAATCTGGATCTAATTGAGCAAGCGTGGCACATACCATTTGGCATGCTGCAGCAAAGTGCGCAGTCCGCAATTTTATCTCGTATTATGTAAAACCTAACCGATTTCCACAAAACTTCGCAGACATCGAACTGGACCTAATTCAGCAAGCGATGCAAGATTTTGTATCAATCGGACAATCTTTGGGAGTTTGCTGCATAAAATCGGAAGAAACTTTATGCTATATATATATATATATATATATATATATATGTTCGAATCACATATTTTAAGAATTTGGTGCTTTACCAAAAATCTAAATCTGGATCGATTTAAACTAAACTTCATGTACATCAGGCTTTACTAAATTGTGTGTCAATTGGACAAACTTCGCGAGTTTGTTCAATTTTCTGACGAAAATATCCGAATCTGAACCGCATTCACCAAAACTTCACATACGTAATTTTGTATTTAATTTACTACTCTCAGCAAAATGTTTTCTCAATCGTACCTTGAGAGTTTAGTGCGCCATTTACATAAAATCGGATGAAAATATATATGAGAGCTATATCTAAATTGAAACCCATTTTCTCCAGTTTCCTTGGGCCAAATAAGGAAGAATTTACTACGAAGCCTATTTCAACGGTAAAAATTATAGTGTGGCGACTGTTTCGTTAAAGCAACGTAGGAAGGCCAATTCTGAGTGGGGCATAACAATTTATTTGCCTGATGTATTTGGAGAAATTCATAAAATTAACAAGAGAAGACGGAGAAGGTTGTGGATCTTTGTAGAAACGAATGCGCTTTACAGATTTTGGCTGTTGAGAAGAACACTATCGTTCAAAAGAAGATTGTTCCTTGGCTGAACTTGGTCATCTTTCTCTCCAGACTAGATACCTTACTACAGGAGTGGGCATAACAAAATTGAGAGTATGTATAGGTGAGCGTAACTGAAAATTCATTACCAAAAATAACTGAGGAAAAGAGAACGAATGAGAGCATCAATGCCTTACTAATATCCGCTTCACCTTAGCTTTTACTTCATGTACCTTTTGGCTCCAGTTCGCCTTCGGCACAGATTTCTGGTTCGTACCTTTGCCAGAGGCAGTGTTCTTTTCAGATTCTACTACTTTGCTCGTTTCTGAGGATACTTTTGAGGTTTCGGCCGAGCTGGTTCCGGGAGGAAGATTTTTTCCACTTGAAGTTCGCTATGAAAAACGTGTGAGTAAGTTCCTTTGAACTTTCAAAAGATTTTTTGTTACCTCTGATGAAGTGAACCTCCATCTCCCTTCGCATCTTACACTACGAACTTGTGAATATACGATACGACACGTTTGTAGTGCTTCAAGCTTAAGTCCAACTTTTGAATACATTCACCGTCTTCGGATATCGATTCAGTTGCAAGCTGTTTCTTAATCTTTTTGTCGGCATGTATACTTCCTGACTGGGTCGGAATCATCGTGGTGTTCAGCTAATCATCAGTAAGGGTCAGATTGTGTACCTCTGGGAGAATGTTCCCACTTTGCTCTTCCGGGGCAATCCCGTCCCGCTGTTTGGTAAGTTCCCTACTCTGCTTCTCCGGAGTATCTAAGTTCTAAGGATCCCATGGAGGTGGTCTCCGCCCATAAATTCGGTACTGTCCGCCGTAAACTGATTTTCACCAGTCCTAGCCAAATGATATTCCATCAAATTGTCAGCTCGTCATTTATTTCTAGAGTTAAACTTGATGATGATTACTACATATGCATGTGCCAAGGTATCCACTCCAAGAATAAATGGATCCAAGGTTTCTAGGATGTGTGGAGCCCGATCAGATCTAGTTTGACCTAGATCTTTAGAGCCATGATTTTTGAATTAGCCAGCCCCACACAAAGCGCCTAGTAGCTCCCCTGGGCGTAGTCATAACATTCTATTGAATCGTTCGAAAAATATGATTCTAAAAGCAACAGGACTCAAAACGGTTCAGCATTATCGATTTTTTACACAATTCTTCCATATGTGCGTATGCCAAAAATATACCAACATTGCATGGGGTTCTTATCTCTTGAGAAACCAAACGACAAACAACAGTTTTTAGAATGTGGAATAGAGCTACGATTTTAAAAACTTCTACAATGAGGGGATCATTTTAAATGGTGGCTTGTCAAAACTGAGCCTACATTGAAAAGTTGCTCGAATGATGGTTTTGAAGTACAAAATTAAATTGTGGGTATTCTAAAACATGGATTGATATATACCGTTTTCAAATATTTAAATCCGATGAGTAGTATTATGTGCAAAATTGTTTAAAATGGTCCGTCTGTATGTAAATACGGCATTGATATATAACAATTAGAAGAGCTACAAACATTCCATGATATTTGTAAATACTGTATAAAATTTGTTCCCGAATGTATTGCAAACCACTATGCAACTGGAACGTACAACCACATATTTGCATGTAAAAAACATTAAATTTCCAGAAAAAATAACAAAGTTTTATTGTTTATGTTTCTTCTTTGTAACAAATCCGTTAGATAATAAACAAAAATAACAAACATACACACCAATATATACATATATATTGTTTTGCATAAGTATTTATATTGTTTCTAATACTCCAAATGTTTTATTGTTATTCGTTTCTTTTTTGTTTCGGGAGAGTTCATTCACTTACCATCAACGATATGTACCCGCACAGATGTGGGATTTGCATTCGATGGTGTACATGTGTAAAGTCCAGAATCTTGTTGTATGGCTTTCTGTACCAGCAGACGACTTGTAGTCAGAACACCTTTTTCCGTAACCAATGATATACCGCCACGTGGTGAATCAAAATTTATGACCTATTTAGGGGGTGAGAAAGAAAAACAAACACACATATATATGTGAAATATTAAGTAAATGTTGAGGGTAATAAAATACAAACATAAAGAGATATCGAATAAAAATTATGAATATGTAAAATTATTTTCAACTTTGTAGACATAATTAAAAGAGGAAAAGTCAGCTGGCCAAAATTAAAATTTTTCTATAAATCTCATTTATTTAGAATTATTACTTTATTTATCATATATTGCAAAAAAATTAATGTTCCAAAAGAATATGGAATTAAAGATATCAAACCTTAAATAATTTATTTGTCTTAATATTTCTTTCAAAAATATGTCAAGTTCGAAAAAGGAACCAATCGATTCTCTCCTTCTGGTACCCCGCACAGAATGTAATATTCCATGCTTTATAAACCGAATACTTAAGTTCCAATTTCATATTAATATTCAATTAATTTTGGAATTATATTCATTTCACTGGAAAGTATACGATTATACCATTTTTATGACACCACTTTCATTTGAATACCAGCATTAGGAAAACCGTTAAGGAAAGTAGTAAAGTCGGACGGGGCCGACTATATGATACCCTTCACCACTTTGGGTATATTCTACATATGTATCCTAACAGACGTAGGTTGTTATTATTATAGACGTAATTCAGTAAGTGCAAATCGAAAGATATATAGGGTCTTTGAGGCACCAATTACCTTAAATCGGATATATATATATATATATATAGGAGCTATATATAAATCTGAACCGATTTTCACAAAACTCTGCACACATCATTCAAGACTTAATTCAGTACGCTATGCCAAATTTCGTGCAAATCGAAAGATAAGTAAGGACTTTGGTACACCATTTACCTTAAATCGGAGGAAGATATATACGGGAGCTATATCTAAATCTGAACCGATTTTCACGAAACTTTGCACACATCATTTTAGACTTAATTCAGTGCGCTATGCCAAATTTCGTGCAAATCGAAAGATATATAGGGACTTTAGTGGACTATTTACCTAAAATCGGGCGAATCTATATATGGGAGCTATATCTAAATCTGAACCGATTATCACGAAACTTTGCACACATCATTCTAGACTTAATTCAGTACGCTATGCCAAATTTCGTGCAAATTGAAAGATATATAGGAACTTTGGTACACCATTTACCTTAAATCGGACGAAAATATATATGGGAGCTATATCTAAATCTGAACCGATTTTTCTCAATTTCAATAGGGTTCATCCTTGGGCCAAACAAATGAGCTGTGCCAAATTTCATCCAATTCGGATAATAAATGCGACCTGTTTACAATTAACATTTGTTTACAATTTAACATGGACAGACGGACGGACATGCATAAATCGACTCAGAAAGTGAATCTATGCATATTCTCAAAAGGTCTATCTTGATTATTTTTGCCTGTTACAAACATATGCACAAAGGCATAATACCCTGTACCACAGTGTGGTGAAGGGTATAAAAAGTAAAATAAGTGAGGTGCGTAATTTGTATAAACCCCCGTCGTCAGCGCCATCTATTGGTGTACACGACTCAAATCAGACACATCAGTTTTTAAGTCCAAATTTCGAAGCGTATAACTTTTGAACAGCATATCGCATTTCAACGAAACTGATGTCATATGGAAGTGGAAAGAGTCTACTGTACTGCGACCATCACCTAGGTGTATACCAGAAATATTTCCGAGGGAAATTAAGAAAAACTTCAATATTAAATTTGATATTAAAAAAATTAAACAAAGTTTGTCAGTGTTGCCATATTAAAATAAAATCTATAAAATACACGTCACGATAAAGTATGATAGCTCAGATTATACTCTATGTAATGCTGACGAAAGACTACGTCTTCGAACTTGATTTAGAGTTGATAAAAGTACGACGATGTGCGAGATCGGACATTCCATTCGCCTAATATTGGATTTAAAAAATCGAACATTGTGACAGTGTGTGGGAGAGGTATCCGAACAATTACGATGTGTACATGTTAGGCCAAGGCTGAGGGTATAATATTGTGCGCCTATGAAATCCTCATAAAATTTTTATACCCTACACAAATAGTTTTGTGTAGCCCCAAGAGTTTGTAACGCCGCGAAATATTGGTCCTAGACCCACCTTTAAGTATACCGATCGTCATATCTCGACTAGCTGAGTCGATCTAGACATGTGTGTCCGTCTGTCCGTTTGTACTTTATAATATGTAAACACGATACAGGCTACAGTTACGGACCAATCTTCACGAAATTTTGAATATAGGATTGGTTCTGGCCAATGAAAACCCCTATTATTTTTCTGAAGATCGGTTAATATTTAGGGGATGAAATGGACCAAAAACTTTATTTTTGTCTGATTTTCTGGTCGCTCCAGAGGCCGCAATTATGGTCCAAGCATCGTTAAATTTTACATGGAGAAGGGGATTGGGCCAAAGAATAAGCATGATTGTTTTGATAAAAATCGGTCAATATTTGACGGGTCTGGACCCTAACTTTTGTGTGAAAAAATGCAAAATTTGAGAAATTGTTAGTATATCCAAAAGGAGGGATAGACCATTAATTTGATATCAATTTTATTGCCGTATGTACTCGTATGTGGGAGTTACACGTAAAAATTTACAGGTGCTTACGTATTCATATATTATTTAGCAACCCATTTCAAAACTGGAGGCCAGAAATATAGCGCTGATCGCAGGTATGGCCAATGACAACGCCTATAAGTTTCGGTAATTACCACATAAAAAATTTGGGATGAAGTGGACCGAAAACTTAATTTTTTGTTTTTTCGAATCAAACTATAGGCCACAAGCCGAACCTCCGAACATCACAACAAAACCCACGGTTAAAAGAATCTGGACAAATAATTAGATGGGCTGTACTGAATATTGGAAATATTCGGAAATTATGTCAGTGTGAAGAAGAGGTGCTGTTGATCTCTAATCGGTGAAAAGGGAGCAAATGTGACGAAATATTGCCCAGGCTTGAAATAAACATCCGCAGAAATTTAGAGTTCCGTGGTAGTTGTGTAGCCTATCGTATGGTCGGTCCCGTCCGACTATACTTCTTCGCTCACTGGCTAAATATGATTCTAAACTTAACTTGGATTTAAAGTATGTACCTCATATCAACATTTTATTATATCTATATTATTATTCCATGGTTAAATTTTATATTCTCTACCAACTTATCATTTTTCCAAATTTTTTGATTATTTCTGACATTTTATTTGCTTGACTTTTGACAGAAAGTCTTCGAAGAAAAAAAAAAAACAAACAAGGGTCGAATGAAAAATTCTAACACGTTACTCCGGCACAGATTTGAGGTTAAACATATGCAGTGAGCATGGAAACGGAAACCCTTATCAATTTAGTAATCACATACATTTATAAACTAAGATGTCATATTTTTATGACACTTATGGAGTTGTGTCAGTTATTGTGTCCTTCAACTAAAAAAAAAACACACAGGAAAAGGTCCTTAAGAGATTTCTCAATTAAAGGTATACGAGTGTGGAGTTTTTTTTTTTATTATTTTTCCTTCTCAACAACCATGTCAACTTCTTTGATATCATGGAGAAGAAAAATCTATTAGTAGGGTATGGTCATGAAATGGTAACCAAATAACTTTTAATATTTTCCATAAGCCCCATAGGTATGCAACAAATTGAATGTCTTCATATTTACATAAGAAATTTATGTATATATAAATATTTTGCTTTATTTTACTGATGGGAGTTTTGTAGTTCTTGTTGTTATTATTCTTTGGGTGCCAAAGGTCATTTGTTGATGTCTCAATTTTCCATAAAATAAAAAAGAATACATGCATAATATTTTGGTAGACATGGGTAGACGTACCTGTCGGTTATGTGACCATGTGACAGTGGGCGGCGGCTCGGGGGCGAATTTTACGATACAGGTTAGATTTATTGTAGAACCTTTGTTTATGTGTAGTTCTGGTCCTCCTATGATTTCAGTAACAGGTTCTGGAAGAAAAGAAAATAGAAAATATGAAACGAATGACACAATGGATTAGGAAATATTTTTTTGCATTTTAAAAATTAAAAAAAAGTACTCAACACGAAATAGTTATGAAGTAAAGTTGTAGTTATTTGTATTTAATTTCAGTATGGGTGAATAAAATTTGTCAAATATTTTATTTTATGTTTTAATTGAATTAAATATAAACTTTATAGGATTTTGTGATTATTTATATGCATGATATGCATATTAGTTCAATTACTAAGTAATTTGTTTAATTATTACAAATATAAGGACGAAATATAAAAATTAAAACCGAGCACACTATATTTTTTACGAAAAATCGAGGTCATGGTTTGGGCGGTGTAAAATTCCTATATTGGCGTTGAAAGACCATGGAGATTACATGGATACGCTAGAAGGAAAAACTCACCATTGGTAAAGGTTCCGAGATATGGCATTATAGTTTTTTTTTTCTGACGACCCTTTTATATATTAGGAGATGGCTTGATGGAGATTACATTTCTTCAATAAAATCAAATGACTAATTTATTTGCAGAACATTTCGTTATTCTAACTCGATTCCTTTAGCGTATAAGGCAACCCTGCAGACAATAGGAAAACGTAATGTGAGAGAGAAGTATCGGGAGAAAAAGAGAGAGGAGAACCGTATTTTTAGAAAAAAGAACGAAAAACAAGAAAAACTAGCCAGGAGTAAGAAGAAGTCCGAAAACTTTACCAACGAGTAAAACACCAAACCGAAGGATTTGGTGCAGGCATCCTCCTGTAGAGATGAAGATGGAAACCTGGTGACAGATGCAGATAGCGTTTTGATGATCTGTGTGGAACATTTTGCAAAGCTTCTGTTAAATAGCAGCGGTGAAGAAGATACCCCAGAACCAATAAGAGATGACAGTATAGATTGTATACCTCCTAGCCAAGATGAGGTCAGAATAGCAATTAACCGGCTGTAGAACAATAAAACAGCAGTTGCCGATGGGTTACCAGCCGAACTATTTACGACCGGTGGTCAGAAGCTGGTCAGGAGCATGCACCAGCTGACTAGTACAATTTGGCTAAATGAATGCATGCCCAATGATTGAAACATCAGCATGATCTCCTTCTCATCGGATATAATGTGCTATCCAGCGTGCTGTGTGACCGACAAAAGCCAATGGTCAATGCATTTATTGGACCATACCAATGAGGCCTCAGACCTGGCAAATCTACCATAGACCATATTTTCACTCTGCACACTCGTCGACTTTAAAATCCGCATTCGACTGCACAATCCGTTCAGAGGTTTTTAATGTCATGTTTGTTTTCAGCATTCCTGTAAAGCTAATACGGCTATGCAGGATAACTTTAACTGGCACAAGGTCAGCAGTTAAAGTAGGAAATTACCTCGACAGATTGTCGTGTAATATTTTTAACATCCTGCTAGAAGAGGTCATACGAAAGGAAAGGTGAATAGGGATGGCAATACCAAAAACACATGTTGCTCACCTACGTCGATGACATCGCCATAATCGGTTGAACATTGCCAGCGATAAAAGCCACCTTTGAACAAATTGAGAAGGAGTCTGCAAAAGTGGGTCTGGCAGTAAATGCGAGAAGACTAAGCTGATGGTATCAACGCTAAAGACGTCCTATAGACTCAGAGCAACTGTAGAACATAAAAACTACAGCTTCGAGGTAGCCACAGATTTTATATACCTCAGTGCCGCAATAATTCAAACTAATTACATCAGTTTGGAAATTCGGAGAAGATGCTACTATGGTCTAAGTATGCAAATTATAAACAAGGCCACCACTCTCAAACTCACATTTTAACAGATTCTGATACTACCCTTGCTGGTGTATGGATCAAAAGCATGGGTACTTACGCAAGCAGATGAAACAGCTCTTGAAGTGTTTGAGAGAAAATTTCTCCAAAGATCTACGGGTCGATCTGCGTCGACGGTGAATATCGGCGTCGATATACCATCTGTACACGGACATCGACAGACGTATCGAACTGCAGATACTTCGGTGGCTGGGCCATGTTGTGCGAAAGGCTGATGATGCCTCAGCTCAAAAGGCATATAAAAGCAAGTCCACTGATGGCTCACGCAGAAGTGGAAGGCCACGTATTCGATGAAAAGTTCAAGTGGAGGATGACATATCAAAGCATGGTCTTCCAAATTTGAAAAAAAAAACTGCGCACAAGATCGACGCACCTGGAATTTTGTTTTTTAAGTTCAGCTTATTGAATAAATGTTCTTTCTGGAGCCACGTAAGTAGGGAAATAAACTCGAATACTTTTGTGCCCTTTTCGTCCCTAATTTATTCTACAAAAATGTTGCTGCTACGGTTTTAGGTGGTGTCGGTGACGATAAATTGATTTTTTAACGTTTTATTGTCAAGTTTACCAGTTTCTTCTCACAAAAAATAAAAAAAAAACCGTATGTATTTCAATAAATTCTGTATACATTCCGTATTATGTAGAACGGTCGGATTCTTCTAAATTATTTTCTAAAACAAAATATATTATATTTTTAAATTTCGAGGAAAAAAGAATTAATTTTTTTAATTTTTGAATAAGGTATTCGGATAACACTTCGTCCACGCCAACAGCCTAGCGTCGATTTAAGACCTCAGATTTGGGATTAGTCGGGATTAGGTTTATTAAAAATTTATTGAAAATGGTATCGCCTAGTAAACCTCATTTTTTTGATATAAGCTTCCGACCAGTATAAACCGATATCTTATCTCTAAATAACTATATTTTTCTTTAGGGCTCATCGAGCATTTTGCAATGGAAATGGCTGTCAGTTAGCCTTCCGGGTTCTTGGAGAGCAAAAAACTCATTCTCAGATCATTTTTAACACACGTCGATGTTTTGACATTGCCACCAAACATTCGAACCTATTTAAATATTTGCATAATCCTAGACCCATTTCTAACCTAAGTCGCTGTTAGTTGGAATTTTGGGCACTTGATGGAAAAACTTCTTCATAGAAATTTTGACATTAACCTTAACCTTATTATAGAACACCCGCTTCATTTTGGAATGTTAAATATACTGGAGAAATTCTCTTACGTGAGTATTTTTTACGCATAAAATAAATCATAAAGACTTTTCTATATTCTATTACACATTGTTTGCTTCAATTTTAAAGGCCCACATATTAACATCTAAATTTTTAATATATTTCACTAAACCTGTTTTTCTTACCTACAATCCATGAATAATTTATAGGGCAGAATTTTATTGATTCATGCTGTGTCTATGTTCCTGGTAACAACAAAAAACTCGCTCCAAAACCACAAAGTGCTATGACGAAAAAATAAAATTAATGAAAATGCAAAGCATTCCAATGGAGTATTTGTTGCCACAAACAATTTCTGTGGTGCGAACTAATTTCTACGTTTTTGGAAAAAAATCTCTCAGGAATTCACAATCTAAACAATGAACACGTTTAATTTACTTTTGGAATACTCGACTAGTATAATACCCCACACACAAAAAAAGCAACAAAGGCCACAACACCACAACAACCAAAAAAATAAGAAAAGCTGATTCGACACTAGTAAAATGGGGAATAAAGTCATTAACTCATATTGTTCTCATCTATATTTTATTCTTAGTGCTTGCTTGGTTAGCTTTCTTCTTCAGCTTCATCGTCGTCGTTGTTGGCTTTGTTGAGCGGTTTTGATAAATATGTTTAGGGAATTATTGTGTGTATGTGTATTAAATTCTCTGTTCGATTGTGTTTTATTTTAGTTGTGTTCATTTGGTTTTATTTCATTATTTATTCAAATTGTTATGGGAGCCAAAAATCACATAAAGCATACGCACACTCACTCATACACACTCTCACTACTTCGTACAAACACTTATGCATATCAACATGACTTAACTATGCAATGAGTTGGAATTCTTTAAGTTATTTATCATTATTTTGATTGGTATTCGTTTCTTTTTCCATCATCGTAGTATTCATCTTCTTTGAAGTCATAAGATTGCTTTGTGTCGAAGGTGATAATTCTATGTTAAAAATAAAAACGGCATACTCATGCCTTGGATGTTCGTAATGTAATAAAATGTTTTCACTTAAACGTATGAGTGTGAATTGCATTGGAATACATCATACGTAACAGAGTACTGGTTTAATCTACGATGAATATTTAAATAGATATTTAAATGGTATTTAAAGGATTGTAGTTTTCTTTTGCAAAGTTCGCAATACCCGCATCTTCAGAACGCCGTGGAATTGATTATTCAACGACTATTATAAGGGGTGGATTTTTTACAAAATATTTTTTACAACTACTATAAAGCGTGGATTTTTTAAACATATTTTTTCGGCGCCTATTATGAGGTGTGGATTAAAAAAAAAATATTTTTCAATGACTAATAAAACGATTATTATTAGGCGTGGATTTTTTAAAGAATATTTTTCAAGGGCCCGCAGACTACTAGGCGTGGATTTTTTTAAAGAATATTTTTTCAAGGCCAGCAGACTACTAGGCTTGGATTTTTAAAGAATACTGTTTCCAGGGCCAGCAGACTACTAGGCGTGGATTTATATTTCTTACAACTACTATAACGGATTTTTAAACATTTTTTTTTTTTCGGCGACTATTAGGAAGCGTGAATTTAAAAAAAAAATATTTTTCAATGACTATTAAAACGATTATTATTATACGTGGATTTTTTGTAAGGACTGGATTTTTTAAATTTGTATACCCTTCACCACACTGTGGTACAGGGTATTATGTGTTGGAGCATACGAAAACAAGACACATGGTTCCTTTTGAGAATTTGCATAGAATGACTTTCAGAGTCGATTTATGCATGTCCGTCTGTCTGTTGGTGTTAAAATGTAAACAAAGTTCAGGTCGCATTTATAATCCGATTGGATGAAATTTGGTACAGCTCATTTGTTTGGCCCAAGGACGAACCCTATTGAAATTGGGGAAAGTCGGTTCAGATTTAGATATAGCTCCCATATAAATGGTGCATCAAAGTCCCTGCATATCTT